TGTATACCATTCCTTACTTTTAAAAACTGTGGTGGATACCTGATCAGTTTTGCCTTCTGAGCAATGGGTGCATTGGAGCTGGCCACTTGTAACAGTTACTGCTTTCTGACCCAAAAGGCTCTCTGTGTGGGTGGGTGGCGGGTTAGGGTTAAAAAGGGGCACGGCTTTGGTCCTGTTGTTGCAGCCACCATTTTGACTTTTCTGACCCCCCCCCTCGGATTTTGGGGAACAGCCCACCCAAATGCTTCAAATACATCCATTGGCTCAAAAAAATAAAAACACAAAAAAAGGCAATCGATTTCTGGCTTAAAGGAACCCACAATGGGGTGTGGGCTTTTCTTTTGGCTCAATAAACAACAGTGAGATTGGTTTTTTTTTTTGCTCAATTTCCCACAATTAAGTCACAGAAGAAGAAAAAACAACAACAAACAACTGAGCCGCTTTTAAGGACCGGGCTAATTGCTCAGATCTGTTCAAGGCCTCTGCAATTTGCTTTTGAATCATCCGAATTTACTGGAAAATGTGGACCATTGAGGCAGATTCGGAAGAAATTTCATCCAATTACTTCCTGCAACGTTCGCACGTTCAAAAGCTGGGCTCGGCACCGGGAAAGCGAAAAAAAAAACAAAAAACCAGGAATTCGATGGCCAGGCCCAAAATTCATGGGATCCTAAGTTTTTTAAGGGGGGTTTCCTACCCCAAGCCCTTGACCAAGGTGGGCATAATCCAGGAGTCTCAAACTCAATTTCATTGAGGGGCGCATCAGCATTGTGGTTGCTCTGAGGGGGGGGCAGCCTACTGGGTGGGTGTGGATGGAGTGGGTGTGGCCTACTGGTGGGCGTGGCCAGCTCTACATGGTTCACGTCAAGGGGGCCTGTGGGGGCCTGGGCAGGAGTGGGACAGATCTGAGGGTCTCTGGCAGAAGGGGGCTGGGACCGGGGCAGAGCCCATCAAGCCGGATAGGTGAAGTAGGCGAAGGCCATTTGCTGGCCGCTTCCAGGTGATGGTGCATTTCTTCATTCCTCACTAAGGGTGACACCTCCCCGGCATGCACCCAGGGGGTGGGCCGACGCGGCAGGGGCTGGTTCCTCGCTGTTTCTAGACAGCTTTGTGGAGCTAAAACCATTTTTGTAGCTCAGGCTTCAACGGTGGGCTCCTTGGCGCACTCCGAGCTTGGGAGGTTTTCTTGCAGACATTTCATGACCCAACTGGGGGACATCATCAGAGCTAGGAGGGAGGGGGATTTGTGGAGGAAGATTGTGGGGTCCCTGGTGCTCTCGGAGCTCGGTGGTTTTCTTGCAGATGTTTCATGACCCAACTAGGTAACATCATCTGTGCTAGGGAGGAGGAGGAGGAGGAGGAGGAGGAGGAGGGAGGAGGAGGAGGAGAAGAAGAAGAGGAAGAAGACGACGACTGTGGGGACCCTGGTGGTTTTTTTGCAGACATTTCATTACCCAACTAGGTAACATCATCAATACTAGAAGGAAGGGGGGTTTGCGAGGAGGAGGAGGAGGAGGGGGAAGAAGATTGTGGGGACCCTGGTGCCCTCTGAGCCTGGTGGTTTTCTTGCAGACATTTCATTACCCAACTAGGTAACATCATCAATACTAGAAGGAAGGGGGGTTTGCAAAGAGGAGGAGGAGGAGGAGGAGGAGGAGGAGGAGGAGGAGGAGGAGGAGGAGGGGGAAGAAGATTGTGGGGACCCTGGTGCCCTCTGAGCCTGGTGGTTTTCTTGCAGACATTTCATTACCCAACTAGGTAACATCATCAATATTAGAAGGAAGGGGGGTTTGCAAAGAGGAGGAGGAGGAGGACTGTGGGGTCCTAGGTGCTTTCCAAGCTCGGCTGTTTACTTGCAGACGTCTCATGACCCAATGAGGTAACGTCACTAGTGCACTCAGAGAGAAGGCACTCCAGTATTATTTAGCTGTGTCCTAAAAGAAAGTCAACAAATTGTCTTTCTTATACATTGGTTTAATGCAGTGGTTCTTAACCTGGGCAATATCACCCCGCAGGGGGCGATTTCATTTTTCAGGGGGGTGATGGAGCGAAAAGGGGCGATGTGGGGGCAAAGGAACGAAAGGGGGGTGATATGGAGGCGATGGAGCGAGGAGTTTTGGGGACACTCTTGAGACTTTTTCATACAGTGAACCGCTGTATATCTGTCGTACAAAAACATCAGACCGCTGGCTATTAGTGGATTGAATTGTGTTTCCAAATGTTCCTCCAGCTAGCTTCAGTACAGAACGCCGTACATATGTGAAGGCGCATCGCTTACCTTCATGCGCGTTGCACAGCGGCCTCTACCCATACAGTGGCACGCCATTGGCCAGAATAGGGGAGATATGGGGAGAAAAGACTGGAAATAAAATATGTGCATCGCTATGTCCTGATGACACTTTTAAAGAAAACAAAACAAGGGCTTGCATAAATTGAAGAATTATTTCCTATGTTGCGATTGAGAGGTTGTGTTGGGGGAGGGGGGTGATGACAACTTCCTCATTGGCTCAAGGGGGCGATTCGTTCAGAAAGGTTAAGAACCCCTGGTTTAATGTATATTTGTTTCGGTCCACTTTTCATTTGTTTTGGGGTTTGTTTTTTTTAATTCTCTTTCCCTTCGATGCTAGGTTGCATTTTAATGCTAGGTGCTGACATTTCATCCAGACACTATCACAAAAGACAAGTACGTTAGGGGCAAAGAGCCTTCATCAGCACATTCAGAAAGGAACCGGAGTCCCGGGCGATGCTGTGGGAAGGGGCTTTGAATTTCTAGGGAAATGTCTTTGACTTCTTCCCAGTTAAGACTCAAACGAGAGACGCCCCAAATATCCGGCTGGCAAAATCCGACTTTAGCACCCGAAACAGCCCTGTTGGTCAGCTCGGGTGTCATCTTTGCTCTGAAAGGGGAGGGGGCTTCTCCTGTCCCTTCCCACCCTCCCCAGAATAGGCCGGACAAGAGGCAACGGAGGGAAACTAACCAAAGAGAGAAGCAACCTGGAACTAAGGAGAAACTTCCTGACAGTTAGAACAATTAACCAGTGGAACAACCTGCCTCCAGAAGCGGTGAATGCTCCAACACTGGAGGTTTTTAAGAAGAGCCTGGACAGCCACTTGTCTGAAATGGTATAGGGTTACCTGCCTGAGCAGGGGGTTGGACTTGATGACCTCCAAGGTCCCTTCCAACTTTTTTATTATTATTATGGATCATCGCACAATCAGCCAGATGTTCAGACTGGATTTGGCATTTTGTCTACCTATCGAGTCCTTACCAATTATTACTATTATTATTATTATTACTACTACTACTACTACTACTACTACTACTACTGGAACAACCTGCCTCCAGAAGTGGTGAATGCTCCAACACTGGAAGTTTTTAAGAAGAGCCTGGACAGCCACTTGTCTGAAATGGTATAGGGTTACCTGCCTGAGCAGGGGGTTGGACTTGATGACCTCCACGGTCCTTCCAACTTTTTATTATTATTATTATTATTATTATTATTATTATTATTATTATTATTATTAACAACCTGCCTCCAGAAGCAGTGAATGCTCCAACACTGGAGGTTTTTAAGAAGAGACTGCACAGCCATTTGTCTGAAATGGTATACGCCATGGCTTCCTACCTGAGCAGGGGGTTGGACTAGATGACCTCCAAGGTCCCTTCCAACATTATTATTATTATTATTATTATTATTATTATTATTATTATTATTATTATTATTATTACTATTATTATTATTTACACCGGGGTCTTAGAGGAAGACGGGCTCCCCAGCTGGATGGGGAGCCTTCCTTTCCAGGGAAACCAAAGGGCAGGAGAAGCAACGGATGGAAACTACAGGTGGCCCTCGAATTACGGCCACAGTGGAGCCCAAAATATCTGTTGCTAAGCGAGTCGTTTCTTAAGTGAGCTTTTCTTCCATTTTACGATTTTTCTCGCCCCAGTTCTTAAGCGAATCACTGCAGGGGTTAAGTTAGTAACATGGATGATGGCTGAATCCGGCTTCCCCCATTGAGTTTTTTTGTCAGAAAGTCGCAAAAGGGGGTCACGTGACCCCGGGACGCTGCCCCCCCTTATCAATATGAGTTAGTTGCCAAGCGTCTGGATTTTGATCAGGTGACCCTGGGGACGCTGCAACGGTCGTTAAGTGTGAAAAACGGTCCTAAGTCCCTTTTTTTCAGTGCCCTTGTAACTTTGATCACTAAACAAAATGTTGTAAGTCGAGGACTCTCAGCAAGCAAGAGAAGAAGCAACTGAGAAATTTCCTGACAGTGAGGACAATTAACCAGTGGAACAACCTGCCACCAGAAGTGGTGGGTGCTCTAACACTGGACATTTTTAAGAAGAGACTGGACAGTCATTTGTCCGGAATGCTATAGCGCAGGAATTCTCAACCTGTGGGTCAGGACCCCATTTGGGGTCGAACGACTATTTCACGGGGGTCGCCAAACAACGCAGTCCGCCATTTTTTTCCCCTTTTCCTTAGCTGGGCTATTCCCTTTTATTCTATTGGCTTTTGAAAGCCAATAGAATAGACTCTCTTGAATAGAGTCTAATTCTATTGGCTTTCCAAAGCCAATAGGAATTGTCCAGGCTGCCTCTGCCCTGCTGAGCCCGCCAAAAGTCCCATTCTGCAAACGATGCTGCAAGTTGTCTGCAGCGAAGGCGAGCTGTCTGGAAGCTTCCACCCCTCCCTGCTGAGCAACTACTAAAAATGTAAGGAAAAGAGGGCCAGGGGTGGGAGGTGGGAGGCCAGCGGGCGCAGGGAGGGTTGCTGGTGTGCGTGGGGCCCGGCGGGTGCCTTACTTCCCTTGGGCTGGGCCAGCTGGTGGCCCAGCCGGTGGTCGCCCTGCGCCGTCGCTGCCCCTTGCCAGCTACGCCTCGGCCGGCGCAGCGGGCGGCACCATGCATGTGCGGTGCTCCCAGGCAGGGAAAGTCCTCAACTTACGACCGGTTGGGTAGTCCTCGACTTACGACCGGTTGGGGGTCGCGGCATTAAAAAGGTTGAGAACCACTGTTCTATTCTATTCTATTCTATTCTATTCTATTCCTATTCTATTCTATTCTATTCTATTCTATTCTCCCTTATTCTATTCTATTCTATTTTATCCTAATTTATCAGCGGAATGGCTTGACTTCAAAGCTGGTGGATGCTCCAGCCCTGGAGGTTTTTAAGAAGAGACTGGACAGTCACTTGTCTGAAAGGGGAACAGGGTCTCCTGCTCGAGCAAAGGGCTGGACTAGATGACCTCCAAGGTCCCTCTGCTGATTCCTCTTCAGCATCACGTAAGCCGCCCCCAAGGCGGCATCGGCGACTTGGCCGTGGACCACGGGGAGCGCAAAGGCCTTCTCCGCTTCCTGCTTCATCACTTCGTTCCGGCACAGCCCGCTCCCGCTGGCCACGATCCGCTTGGCCCCGGCTTCCTTCAGGTTCCCGGAAGGGAGCATGGAGTGCAGGTTTTGGATCACCCCCCGGCACAAGGACCGGACCACGTGCCCCAGGGACATGTCGGAGGCCGCGATGTCCGTCACCGAAGCCAGAGTGGTGGGCGCGTGCCTTTCCCCGAAGAGGGTGGGACAGACGCGGAGACGGCTCTCGGCCTGGCTCAGCCCGGCCTCGATCATCGGCCGGTAGACATCGGATTCGGAGACTTCCAGCCCTGCAAAAGGAAGAAGGGGAGGAGGTGGAGGAGGAGTTAGGATTCTACAGGTTAGTCCTCGCTTTACGACCAAAAGGAAATCCAAGGAAGGAGGGGAGGGAGGGAGGGAGGGAGGAAGGGAGGAAGGAAGGAAGGGAAGAAAGGAGAAAAGGGAAGGAGAGAGGGAAGGAAGGAAGGAAGGAAGGAAGGAAGGAAGGAAGGAAGGAAGGGAGAAAAGGGAGAGAAGGAAGAAAGAAAAGGGAGGGAGGGACGAAAGGGAGAGAAGGAAGGAAGGAAGGAAGGAAGGAGAAAAGGTAAGGAGGAAGGAAGGGAAGAAAGGAGAAAACAGAGGGAGAGAGGGAAGAAAGGAAGGAAGTCCAAGGAAGGGGGGAGGGAGGGAGGAAGGAAGGAAGGAAGGAAGGAAGGGAAGAAAGGAGAAAAGGGAAGGAGAAAAAGGAGAGAAGGAAGAAAGGAGAAAAGGGAGGGAGGAAGGAAGGAGAAAAGGGAGGGAGGGAGGAAAGGGAGGGAGAGAAGGAAGGAAGGAAGGAAGGAAGGAAGGAAGGAAGGAAGGAGAAAAGGGAGGGAGGAAGGAAGGGAAAGGAGAAAGGAGGGAGAGAGAGGGAAGGAAGGAAGGAAAGGGAGGGAGAAGGAAGGAAGGAAGGAAGGAAGGAAGGAAGGAAGGAAGGAGAAAAGGGAGGAAGGAAGGAAGGAAGGAAGGAGAAAAGGGAGGGAGAGAAGGAAGGAAAGGGAGGGAGGGAGGGAGGGAGGGAGGGAGAAAAAGGAGAGAAGAAAGGAGAAAGGGGAGGAAGGAAGGAGCAAAGAGAGAGAGAAGGGAGAAAAGGGAGGGAGGGAAGAAAGAAGGAAGAAAGGGAAAAGAGAGGGAGAGAGGGAAGGAAGGAATAAAGGGAGGGAGAGAGGGAAGGAAGGAATGAGAAAAGGGAGAAGGAAGAAAAAAAGGGAGGGAGAGAAGGAAGGAAGGAAGAAAGAAGGCAGGTAGGGAAAAGGGAGGGAGGGAGGGAGGGAGGAAGGAAGGAAGGAAGGAAGGAAGGAAGGAAGGAAGGAAGGAAGGAAGGAAGGAAGGAAGGAGAAAGGAAGGGAGGGAGAGAGACAGAGAGAGGAAGGAAGGAAGGAAGGAGGGAGGGAGGGAGAGAGAGAGAGACAGAAAAAGGAAGGAAGAAAGGGAGGGAGGGAGAGAGACAGAGAGAGGAAGGAAGGAAGGAAGGAGGGAGGGAGGGAGGGAAGGAAGGAAGGAAGGAAGGAAGGAAGGAAGGAAGGAAGGAAGGAAGGAAGGAAGGAGAAAAGGGAGGGAGGAAGGATTGCCTTCCCAGAGCTAGGCCAAGCCCATCCCCATCCTGAAAGACCCTACCCAGCTCAGCCATCCATCCAGCCACCATCTTCACGAACGCAGCCATCACGTTTCCGCCGTTTAGCGAAGCAGCCACCGCCAGATACCGGTTGTCAAAATACGGGAAATATTGCACGGGTGACCTTGGATCAGGAGCCTCCACAGGCTGGAACCCGGGTGGCAGGGGGACCGCCAGCTGGGCCGAGGTGCTGATGTTGAGAACTTGGGAGATGGGAGGAAGAAAAGAGAGAAGAATTAATCAGAAATGAAGCTGCCTTTTAAAAAATGAGAGTTTTCCACAGTGGCCCTCCCTTCCTCAACTCAATCAAGGGCCGAAGCATTTCATTTATTTATTTTTGCAAATAGTACTCCACTTACCGCCACCACGGAGCCCAAAATTTCTGTTGCTAAGTAAGACAGCGGCTAAGTGAGTTTCACCCCATTTTATGATCTTTCTTACCACAGTTGCCCTCCTCCTCCTCCTCCTCCAGAAGCCCCATTTTCTTCCAGTCCTGATGTTACTTACTGTGTTTCCCCGAAAAAAAGACCAAGTCTTTTTTTTTGCCTCCAAAAGAGGCACCGGGTCTTATTTTCGGGGTAGGCCTTACCTCACCTCCAGCACCACCCAGCCGGTCCGCTTCTTCTGGGGCCGAAGTTCTGCAGCTGCATTCGGGCCTGGATTTTGCAGTCTGGCCTTTCCAGAAGGCCTAAGCAACCGAGGACCGAGCGATGGCCTTCCGGAAAGGCCCTTGACTGAGAAAGGCAGGCCTGGCTGCAGAAGAGGCCGCAGAAGAAGACGTGGGCTGGCGAGGGGAGGCCTGGCTGCAAGGGAAGTGAGTATGGGGCAGATGGGGCAGCTCCATACTCCCACCCCCACCCTAGCTTGATTTTTAGGGGTGTGCCTCGCCCCCAAACTAGGGCTTATTTTTGGGGTAGGGGTTATATTAGGCCAGTGGTTCTCAACCTTTCTAATGCCGCGACCCCATAATACAGTTCCCCATGTTATGGTGACCCCCAACCACTTATACATCACCGGGTGCCAGGGGCGTGGCCAAAGAAAAGGGGGAAAAAATGGCGGACAGCCTTGTTTGGCGATCCCCATGAAATGGTCGTTCGACCCCAAATGGGGTCCCGACCCACAGGTTGAGAACCACTATATTAGGCTCACTCCCAAAAATCAAGTTAGGGCTTATGGTTGGTGTAGGCCAGGGGTAGGCAACCTTGGCTCAGGAGTTAATAATAGTAATAATAGTAATAGTAATAGTAATAATAATAATAATAAGTAGTAGTAGTAGTAGTAGTAGTAGTAGTAGTAGTAGTAGTAGTAGTTGGAAGGGACCTTGGTGATCATCTAGTCCAGGGATAGGCAACCTTGGCTCTTTTATGACTCATGGACTTCAATTCCCAGAATTCCTGAGCCAGCACCTAATTTTGATCATCTCTCTCTCTCTCTGTGTGTGTAAAAAAGAGAGTGGCCTCACCCTGTTCCGACGAGCTGACAAGCTTATTGGGCGGGGCTCCTCTCTTTGCTGCATCTCTGCAGGAAGCAGAAAGGGCAGGAGAGAGCTAGCTAGCCCAGCTATGCTGGCTCAGGAATTCTGGAAGTTGAAGTCCATGAGTCATAAAAGAGCTAAGGTTGCCTACCCCTGATCTAGTCCAACCCCCTGCTCAGGCAGAAAATCCTATACCCTTTCAGACAAATGGCTGTCCAGTCTCTTCTTAAAAACCTCCAGTGTTGGAGCATTCACCGCTTCTGGAGGCAGGTTGTTCCCCAGGTTAATTGTTCTAACTGTCAGGAAGTTTCTCCTTAGTTCTAGGCTGCTTCTCTCCTTGTTGAGTTTCCATCCGTGGCTTCTTGTTGAAGTCCACAAGTCATAAAAGAGCCGAGGTTGCCTACCCCTGGTGTAGGCCTTACTTTCAGGGACACACGGTAGTTCAGGGGTCCCCAACCTCCGGTTCGTGGACCGGCACCGGGCCGCGGCATGCCAACAACCGATCCACGCAAACAAGCAAAGCCCCATCCACGGGATGCAGGCAGTACATGACACCAGGTCCCCTCCAGTTCACGGGAAAACCTGTCTCCACGGAACCGGTCCCTGGTGCCCGAACGGTTGGGCACCTAGTTGGATCATGAAACGTCTGCATGAAACGTCTGCAAGCTCAGAGTGCACCAAGCGAAGTGTCTCTACAAGCCGGCATTTTCCTGCAACGCAGAAGCATTTGGCCTTAGTCAAGTTCAACATTTCCGTGGGTTTCGGGGGGCAGCTACCTGCGTCACTGTCTTCAGACAGGCAAGAGTAAACGGAGCATTGGAAATCTCCCAGGGCTATCCCAACCTTGGTTCCGGCTGGGACCCGGTGCCACGCCTGGCAGGTTTCCCCCGCAAGGTCACCGGAATCGACCACTTCAGGAAGCAAATGGATGGGAAAGCCAGAGTCTTCCAAACTAAAAAGAGAAGTAGAAATTAACTGAGGTGTGTTTTTCTGTGTGTGTGTGTGTGTGTGTGTGTGTGTGTGTGTGTGTGTGTGTGTTGAGGCTGAATAACATGGGCCGTCCTTAACATACAAGCACAATTCTGGGAGTGGAAGTCCTCCCCTCTTAAAGCATGCTGGCTGGGGGATTCTGGGAGCGGAAGTCCACCCCTCTTAAAGCATGCTGGCTGGGGGATTCTGGGAATGGAAGTTCACCCTTCTCAAAGCAGGCTAGCTGGGGAATTCTGGGAATGGATGTTCATCCATCTTAAAGCATGCTGGCTGGGGAATTCTGGGAGTGGAAGTCCTCCCCTCTTAAAGCAGGCTGGCTGGGGAATTCTGGGAGTGGAAGCCCACCTCTCTTAAAGCATGCTGGCTGGGGAATTCTGGGAGTGGAAGCCCTCCCCTCTTAAAGCATGCTGGCTGGGGGACTCTGGGAGTGGAAGCCCACCCCTCTTAAAGCATGCTGGCTGGGGAATTCTGGGAGTGGAAGCCCACCCCTCTTAAAGCATGCTGGCTGGGGGAAGTGGAAGCCCTCCCCTCTTAAAGCAGGCTGGCTGGGGATTCTGGGACTGGAAGCCACCCCTTTAAAGCATGCTGGCTGGGGGATTCTGGGAGTGGAAGCCCTCCCCTCTTAAAGCAGGCTGGCTGGGGGATTCTGGGAGTGGAAGTCCTCCCCTCTAAAGCATGCTGGCTGGGGGATTCTGGGAGTGGAAGCCCACCCCTCTTAAAGCATGCTGGCTGGGGGATTCTGGGAGTGGAAGCCCACCCCTCTTAAAGCATGCTGGCTGGGGAATTCTGGGAGTGGAAGCCCTCCTCTTAAAGCATGCTGGCTGGGGATTCTGGGAGTGGAAGCCCACCCCTCTTAAAGCATGCTGGCTGGGGGATTCTGGGAGTGGAAGTCCACCCCTCTTAAAGCATGCTGGCTGGGGGATTCTGGGAGTGGAAGTCCACCCCTCTTAAAGCATGCTGGCTGGGGGATTCTGGGAGTGGAAGTCCACCCCTCTTAAAGCATGCTGGCTGGGGGATTCTGGGAGTGGAAGTCCTCCCCTGTTAAAGCATGCTGGCTGGGGGATTCTGGGAGTGGAATCCACCCCTCTTAAAGCATGCTGGCTGGGGAATTCTGGGAGTGGAAGTCCACCCCTCTTCAAGCAGGCTGGTTGGGGAGTTCCGGAGACTGAAGTCCACCCCTCTTAAAGCATGCTGGCTGGGGGATTCTGGGAGTTGGTCCACCCTTCTTCAGGTTACCAAGTTTGAGACGCACTGGATGAAACCATAGTGCACAGATCGTAGTGTAAACGGTGTAACCGGGTGGCCAGCGTCCCCTTGAGGCCATCCGCAGACTTACAGTTTAGTGTTCCAGGATTTTTCTATGGTACTGAAGTATCCCCAGGCGGCGGCATTCTGCACGGACATTTGTGGCTTCTCCCGGCCGCACAGCATGGCCACGACGTAGTCCTGGATGGTGCCAGCAGCAGTGTAGGGTTCCAGGAAATCTGGCCTAGGAAGAGAAATTGAAACACTTCAGAGACAGATAGACAGAATGGATGGATGGATGTACATCTATTGGAAAAACTGACTGGCATAAAACTATTATACAAATATATATAAAAAGAAAAGATCTAGGAACAATTAAGACCATCTCAGGGAGATGGGCGGCCTATAAATGGAATATATAAATAATTATTTTGGAGAAAAAAAAATATTTTTTTCTGGGAACCATGAAGACCAGCGTCTGCTCAGGGAGATAGGCAGCGTATAGGTCAGTGGTTCTCAACCTTTTTAATGCCGCGACCCCCCCCCAACCGGTCGTAAGTTGAGGACTACTCAACCGGTCGTAAGTCGAGGACTACTCAACTGGTGCAGCACCGTTTGCAGAAGGGGACTTTTGGCGGGCTCAGCAGAGCAGAGACAGCCTGGGCAATTCCTACTGGCTTTTGAAAGCCAATAGAATTAGACTCTATTCAAGAGAGTCTATTCTATTGGCTTTCAAAAGCCAATAGAATAAAAGGGAGTAGCACACCTAAGGAAAAGGGGGAAAAAAATGGCGGACTGCGTTGTTTGGCGACCCCCGTGAAATGGTCGTTTGACCCCAAATGGGGTCCCGACCCATAGAACCACTGGTATAAATGGAATGTTAAATTTAAATGGAATAAATTTAACCGTATTTAAAGTTGAGTTGCCGGTATCCTGCTTGCCACCATTCCAAGTTACAATGGCATTTAAAAAGGCTGCTTACAATCGATCCCTGCACTTATGACCGTCAACAGCAACCCCAAAGTCATGTGATCAAAATTCAGGCAGCTGGCAAACCAGCGTAAATTATCTAGCACTAGCCATAGCACTTATATACCGCTTTGCAGTGCTTTACAACCCTCTCTAAGCGGTTTACAGTCAGCATTTTGCTCCCTGACAATCTGGGTCCTCGTTTTACCGACCTCGGAAGGATGGAAGGATGAGTCAAAGGTGAGCCGGTGAGGATTGAACTTCTGACAGTGGGCAGAGTCAGCGTGCAATACTGCATTATAACTACTGTGTCACCACAGCTTCCTTCCTTCCTGTTTTCCTTCCTTCCTTCCTTCCTTCCTTCCTTCCTTCCTTCCTTCCTTCCTTCCCAAGCAACAGCACTCAGATTTACATACCACTTCACAGGACCTTTTACAGCCCTCTCTAAGCAGTTTACAGAATAAACATATTTTCCCCAGCAATCTGGGTCCTCATTTTACCGACGTCGGAAGGATGGAAGGCCGAGTCAACCTTGAGCTGGTGAGAATTGAACTGCCGAACTGTTGGCAGTTGGAAGTCACCAGAATTAGCCTGCAATATTGTCTTGCTTTTCTGAATCAAACAATGTTCTTCATAGATTGTGGGAATGCTGTAGACATAGTATATCTTGACTTAAGCACAATGTTTGACTAAAAGTACCGGGCGAAATGAAATATAGCACGTCCTATTCCAGTGGTGGCGAACCTTTTAGAGACCGAGTGCCCAAACTGCCACCCAAAACCCACATGCATTGTCGGGTGCCAGGTGGGCATGACCCATTGGGTGGGCATGGCTGCAGTGGTAACAGCAAACTGGGTGGGACTAAAATGTTCAATCAATCAATTCCAACTTTGCAAGATCTTTTTTTTTTCCCCGAGAAGTTGGAATTGACTGATTGACTGAACCTTTTTTTTTTTTTTTGCACACGGCAAACCCAGCTGAAGGCCTAGGACTGGGTACGTGCCCACAGAGAGGGCTCTGAGTGCCACCTCTGGCACCCGTGCCATAGGTTCACCACCACTGCTGTATTCTAACCACTGCGCTACCACAGCTCCTTCCTTCCTTCCTTCCTTCCTTCCTTCCTTCCTTCCTTCCTTCCTTCCTTCCTTCCTTCCTTCTTTCCTTCCCGGAACACTGCTATTATGTCCCCCCTTATCCTTCTCTTCATTAAACTAGACATACTCAATTCCAGCAACTGTTCCTTGTATGTTTTAGCCTCCAGTCCCCTAATCATCTTTGTTGCTCTTATCTGCACTCTTTTTGGAGTCTCAACATCTTTTTTACATCATGGTGACCAAAACTGGATGCTGTATTCCAAGTGTGGCCTTACCAAGCCTTGTAAAGTGGTATTAATGCTTCACGTGATCTTGATTCTATCCCTCTGTTAATGCAGCCCAGTACTGTGTTGGCTTTTTTGGCAGCTGCAGCACACGGCTGGCTCCTATTTAAGTGATTGTCCACTAGGCCGCAGAGTTACCTGTTCTTTAAAAGCCAGAAGATGGTGGCACAGCCGTACCCAGAAGCCACGCTGAGGTGCGACTGAGGCGGAGGGAGGGAAGACAGGAATTGGGGGCTGCAGCGGCCATCTTGCCAGGTGATCAGCTGACTGGCTTTGTCTGGCTGAAAAGTCCACCGGCCTTCATTTTCAGTCCATGTGCAACCTGGAAGAGGCAGGTGAAGGACCACCAGGCGCCAAGGTGACCACAACCATGCTTGGAATTGTATCGGCCGTCCTTGACACACAAAGGCCCCTGTGTAGCACTAAACAGTCCTTGACTTACAACAGATTCGTTTAGTGACCATTTAAAGTTACAACAGCATCGAAAAAAACGACTTACGACCGTTTTTCTCATATGACCGTTGCCGCATTTCCGTGGTCACATGATCAAAATTCAGACATTTGGCAACCGACTCGTATTTATGACAGTCCCGTTGTCCTGGGGGTGTCACATGATCCCCTTTTGCGACCTTCTGATATGCAAATCTATGGGGGAAGCTTAACAACCGACTTAACTGCACTGATTCACTTAACAACTGGGGCGAGATTCATTTAACAACGGATTCACTGAGTAACAGAGGTGAATTGAACGGAAATACATTAATTTAAATCAAAATTAAAATAAAACAAAATTTAAAACGCAACCCTTTTCTTCCCTTCGACGGAACACAAAATCCATGTCGCCTTTACTTTAGAAAGAACTATTGATAGTTCTTAAAACATAAATACGTGTTTTTTTTTTAAAAAAAAAAAAAGGAAAAGAGGTTTTTTTTTCAAATGAATGTAAGCCAGGTTGATTTTTTTTTCCTCCCATGGAGTACAATCAGCTTTCAGTTCTATTTCCACCTCTGCTATCATCCTGATCTCTCTGTGCAATAGAAAAATGAACATGAAAGGCATTAAAAAGCTAAAAAAGCAAAAACACACAGAAAGTAGTAGTAGTAATAATAATAATAATAATAGTAATAATAATAAAGTTGGAAGGGACCTTGGAGGTCATCTAGTCCAACCCCTGCTCAGGCAGGAAACCCTATACAATTTCAGATAAATGGCTGTCCAGTCTCTTCTTAAAGACTTCCAGTGTTGGAGCATTCACCGCTTCTGGAGGCAGGTTGTTCCACCGGTTAATTGTCCTCATTGTTAAGAAGTGTCTCCTTAGTTCTAGGTTGCTTCTCTCCTTGATCAGTTTCCATCTGTTGCTTCTTGTCCTGCCTTCAGGCGCTTTGGAGACTAGCTTGACTCCCTCTTCTTTGGAGCAGCCCCTGAGATACTGGAAGGCTGCTATCATGTCCCTCCTCTTTATTAAACTAGACATCCCCAATTCCAGCAACTGTTCCTTATATGTTTTAGCCTCCAGTCCCCTAAAGTGATTGTTCAGAATATAAATTATGAAGTCTTCAAATGCCACAAAAATTTAGAGTCTGTTTTATGATTTTTAGGGAACCCACTCATAAAAACAGCCAAAAAGCAACCCAGGAAGAATCAAGATAAAGCTTTAGAAATATAGTAATTAGGAACTTAATAGTTGCACACAAAAACATGTAATAAATACCATTCTTTAAAAAAAAAAGTCAGTTGCAGGAAAATCAAAGCGGGAGGGGGCTATCAAATTAATCCTCATTTAGAGTCATTTCAGGATGCACTGCATCAAACTGAAAATGGGATTCTCCAGAATATGAATCAAAAATCAAAAGCTGATCAGAGATGGAATCTGGGTCCAACAACAATTAATCAGTGGAATGGCTTTCCACCAGAAGTTGTGGGTGCTCCAACTCTGGAAGTTTTTAAGAAGAGATTGGATAACCACATGTCTGAAATGATATACTGTAGGGTTTCCTGCCTGAGCAGGGGTTGGACTAGAAGACCTTCAAGATCCCTTCCAGATCTATTCTGATAGATAGATAGACAGACAGACAGACGGGCGGGCGGACAGACAGACAGGGTGGGTGGGTGGGTGGGTGTATGGATGGATGGATGGATGGATGGATGGATGGATGGATAGATAGATAGATAGATAGATAGATAGATAGATAGATAGATAGATAGATAGATAGATAGATAGATAGATAGATAGATAGATAGATAGATAGATAGATAGATATGGTCTAGGGTCGCCTGCCTGAACCCGGGGTTGGACTAGAAGACCTCCAAGGTCCCTTCCAGCTCCGTTATTCTGTTCTGTTCTATCTGTTCTGTTTTTCCCTAGCATTAACAATTATGGAAAATAAAGTCTTGGACACCAGCTTCAAATGCTTATTTTCCAGAATAGTTTTTGCATGTGTTAAATTTCACATCACAGTTTGAAGTGTTAATGTCATTTTATAGGGCCCGATAAAGGACACACTTGGAATATTGCATCCAGTTTGGGTCACTATGGTGTAAAAAAAGAAGTTGAGACTAATGTGCAGAGAAGAGCAACAAAGATGATTAGGGGACTGGAGGCTAAAGCATATAAGGAACAGTTGCTGGAATTGGGTCTGTCTAGTCTAATGAAGAGAAGGACGAGGGGGGACACGATAGCAGCCTTCCAGTATCCCAAAGAAGAGGGAGTCAAGCTATTCTCCATAGCCCCTGAAGGCAGGACAAGAAGCAACGGATGGAAACTCATCAAGGAGAGAAGCAACCTAGAATTTAAGGAGAAACTTCCTGACAGTGAGAACAATTAACCAGTGGAACAACCTGCCTCCAGAAGTTGTGAATGCTCCAACACTGGAAGTTTTTAAAAAAGACTGGACAACCATTTATCTGAAATGGTACAAGATCTCCTTTTAGGACACTGCTTGTAAATGCTTACATATACTTAGAGCTTGGACACCCACTTCACAGTCTGTTTCTGTTGCTCCCCTGCTCCCTTCTGGGAGGTGGTTTCAAAGTATTTCTAGCAGGGCCACCTGTAACACAAGAGGTCCCCAACCTTATGGGCACCAGGGACCGGTTCCGTGGAGAAAGGTTTTTCCACGGACTGGAGTAGTGCGTGGTTTTGTGTGCTGCCTGCATCCCATGGATGGGGCTTTGCTTGTTTGTGCAGACCGGTTGCTGGCATGCCACGGACTGGTATCAGTCCACGGACCGGGACCGGTCCACAGAACGGCGTTTGGGGACCCCTGCTGTAACAGCTTTGTTCCTTATGCTGTCTGTCTGGTAAAGTCGCAAGATTCATTTTTCTCGCCATGTATATGTGTACATCCAAAGTAGACTGTGTTGTTTCACTGGGTTTTATATGTATGTGTGTGTGTGGGGGGGGGAGTATATGCATAATTTTTATTTTTATTTATTTTATTTTTGTCATGTTTATGCAGTGCACACTGGAGGTGGTCATCCTTTGAGAGCTGTATGAAACAAAATCTCATTTTAATGTATGCTGATCAATGTACATTTAAAGTGACAATAAAGTTATTCTTATTCTATTCTATTCCTGTTCTTATTCTATTCTATTCTATTCCTGTTCTTATTCTATTCTATCCTATCCTATCCTATTCTATATTCTATTCTATCCCATAATTCTATTCTATTCTGTTCTGTTCTATTCTATATTCTATTCTCTATTCTATTCTGTTCTGTTCTGTTTTTTCATTGTTCTACTCTATTCTATTCTACACTACTCTATTATTTTCTATTCATTCTATTCTATATTCTATTCTATTCTATTTTCTATTCTATCCCATAATTCTGTTCTATTCTATATTCTATTCTATACTCTATTCTATTCTGTTCTGTTCTTTCATTTTTCTACTCTATTCTATTCTATTCTACTCTATTATTTTCTATTCATTCTATTCTATTCTATTCTATATTCTATTCTATTCTATTCTATTCTATATTCTATTCTATTCTATCCCATAATTTTATTCTATTCTATTCTATTCTACTGTACTCTATTATTTTCTATTCATTCTATTCTATTCCATAATTCTATTCTATTCTATATTCTACTCTATTCTGTTCTGTTCTTTCATTGTTCTAATCTATCCTATTCTATTTTACTCAATTATTTTCTATTCATTCTATTCTATTCTATATTCTATTCTATTCCATAATTCTATTCTATTCTATTCTATTTTCTATTCTATTCTATTTTCTATTCTATTCTATTTTCTATTCTATTCTATTTTCTATTCTATTCTATTCTATTCTATTCTATTCTATTCTATTCTATTCTATTCTATTCTATTCTATTCTACTCTACTCTACTCTACTCTACTCTACTCTACTCTATTCTATTCTAGGGATTGGATGAGAAGACTTCCCAAGTCCCTCCTAACCGTGTTATTCTACTTTCTGTGTTCTAAACCTTACCTTTCCCAGCTTCCCAAAACATCACCCCATGCATCTGTCCAGAAACACCAATGCAGCAAACTCTTTGCACAAAAGCCAGAGAAAAAGACGCTAGGCAACCGTTCAAAGCTTCAATGATTCTGTGGACATCCTGCTCGTTCTCCTGCAAGAGAAAGAAAGAATTCATTCATTTATTTAAATTGAGATGACGCTTATCTCACTTCCTCTAGGTGGGAGAAAGAATACATGGGGGAAAAATAAAGGAGAAGAAACAGACTCCTCCAACAGGGAAGGGACACAGGGCAGAAAACATCCTGCAGCCGAGAAGGCTCCCCACCCATTTGCACCACTCAGGTGACCCTGAGGACACAAAACCACATTCAATGCATGAAAATGAATCCCAAAGGTGCTTTTCCTGGAGGCCACTGGACTTCCTTGTTTTTCTTTGAAGACATTTCGCTTCTCATCCCAGAAGCTTCTTCAGCTCTGATTGGCATGACGGGGAATGGAAGGATTTATACTCCTTGCAGACAGCCGGTCCTTTGCATCCTTTTGGAGAGTCGTTGAGGCCACCTGGAGATTTGTCTGTGTCTTCAGGCTCACCTGAGTGGTGCAAATGGGTGGGGAGCCTTCTTGGACCTGCTGAAAGGACCGTGTTGTAGAGAGGAAATAAGACAATGTCGGATCCCTCCCCCTCTGTTGATATAGATGGCCTCTTTGACCCCTCTTTCAAACCAGTGGTCCTCTCTATCCAACATAGAACAAACCCATCAGGACAAGAGTCAGCAGTTCCTCTGCATTTAAAAGACGAAGGCTGCTCTTTCGAAGACAGCAAAGTCCACCTTTTGAACAGAGAAGACCGCTGGCTGGAAAGAGGAGTCCAAGAGGCCATCTAGGTCCAACTGAACACCCCTCCCTCAACAGAGGGGGAGAGATAGGACAGCATCCATCTCCAGTCTACAACACGGTCCTTTCAGCAGTCCCAAGAAGGCTCCACACCCATTTGCACCACTCAGGTGAATGATGGAAATAGGTAAACCTCTAAGTCAGTGGTTCTCAACCTGTGGGTCGGGACCCCATTTGGGGTCGAACGACCACTTCACGGGGGTCGCCAAACAATGCAGTCTGCCATTTTTTCCCCCTTTTCCTTAGCTGTGCTACTCCCTCTTATTCTATTGGCTTTTGAAAGCCAATAGGAATTGTCCAGGCTGTCTCTGCCCTGCTGAGCCCGCCCAAAGTCCCATTCTGCAAACGGTGCTGCACGAGTTGAGTAGTCCTCGACTTACGACCGATAGAGGAGTCCTCGACTTACGACCAGTTGGTGGTCATGGCATTAAAACGGTTGAGAACCACTGCTCTAAGTAGCCTCAATGACTCTCTAAATTAAAGAAGGCAAAGGACCGGCTGTCTGCAAGGAGTATAAATCCTTCCATTTCCCGCCATTCCAGTCAGAGCTGCAGAAGCTTCTGGGATGAGAAGCAAAACGTTTTCAAAGGAAAAACAAGGAAGTCCACTTGCCTTTTGAAAAAAGCCCCTTTGGGACAAACGAGAAGAGAGAAGGAATGTTTTACGCACGAGAAAGACAACTGAAGAGTCTTTCTTGGGTGGGTATTAAAACATGATCACATGATAGCAGCATTCCAGGATTTGAGAGGCTGCGACAAGGAGGACGGGGCCAAATTATTCTCCAAAGCACCAGAGGGCAGGACAAGAAACAATGGATGGAAAATAATCAAGGAGAGAAGCAACCTGGAATTAAAGAGAAAGTTCCTGACAGCGAAGACAATTAACCAGTGGAACAGCTTGCCTCCAGAAGATGTGGTTGCTCCATCACTGGAGGTTTTTAAGAAGAGACTGGACAGTCACTTGCCTGAGATATTATAGGTTCTCCTCCTTGAGCAGTGGGACTGGACTAGAAGACCTCCAAGGTCCCTTCCAGATTCTATTCTGTTCTGTTCTGTTCTGTTCCATTCCATTCCATTCCATTCCATTCTATTCTATTCCATTCCATTCCATTTTCTATTCTATTCTATTCTATTCTATTTTCTATTCTATTCTATTCTATTCTATTCTATTTTCTATTCTATTCTATTCTATTCTATTTCTATATTCTATTTCTATATTCTATTCTGTTTAATTCCTATTCTATTCTATTCTATTCTATTCTAATCTAATCTATTCTAATCTATTCTATCTATTCTAATCTATTCTATTTCTATATTCTATTCTGTTTAATTCCTATTCTATTCTATTCTAATCTAATCTAATCTAATCTAATTCTACTCAACTCTAAGGAGTAGGGGGGACATGATAGCAATATTCCAGTATTTGAGGGGCTGCCACAAAGAAGAGAGGGTCTATCTATTCTCCAAAGCAGATGAAAGCTGGACAAGAAGCAACAGATGGAAACTAATCCAGGAGAGAAGCAACCTGGAACTAAGGAGAAACTTCCTGACAGTGAGGACAATTAACCAGTGGAACACCTTGCCTCCAGAAGTTGTGGGCACCCCATCACTGGAGGTTTTGAAGAAGAGACTAGACAGTCACTTATCTGAAATGGTATAGGTTCTCCTGCTTGAGGAGGGGGTTGGACTAGATAACCTCCAAGGTCCCTTCCAACTCTATTCTCTATTCACCTTACCCGCAACTGAGCCTCTTTGATGCGCACATCGGCCTGCACCGGCTTGGTGCAGCTGGCAACCAGGGTGGGGCCGTTATTCGTTTTTTCCACCAGGACCACCTTTACGGATGTGGTGCCCAGATCAATGCCCAGGATGCACGGGGCGGGCAGCCCAACGGACCTCCGTCTTTCCTGCGCCATCCAAGATTCCTGCCTTGAGGCCTGCAATCTGGATCACCAGCGGGAAAAATGAAACCAGGTCAGTCCTGCATCTGCTCAAAGGGGGTAGGGGGGAAGCACAGCTGTCAAGGCAATGATTTAGAAGCTAACCAGCTGATGTAATGTGAGATGTATGATATAATGATGGGAATGACTCAGCAGGGTCTGCGTCCCTTTAAGAGCCAGCTGGGTCTGTGTCCTTTTAAGAGCTTTGTAAAAAAAGGAAGTGCTCCTCTCTTCTGTTTCCTGCTGTTAACTGTTGTGTGTTGGAGACTGCTGTATTAACACGTGTATGTATATTGTTCCTGGTGTATGATATTGTAGATCAGGGGCCTTCAAACGTGGCCCTTTTATGACTTGTAGACTTCAACTCCCAGAATTCCTCAGCCAACTGTGGCAAGAAAGATCGTAAAATGGGTAAAAACTCACTTAACATCTCACTTAACAATAGAAATGTTGGGCTCAATTGTGGTCGTAAGTTGAGGACTACCTGTGTTGTTTTTGGATGAAACAGTGGAGACCTCCAAGCAATGGTACAGGGTCTCCTGCTTGAGCAGGGGGCTGGACTAGATGATCTCCAAGGTCCCTTCCAGCTCTATTCTGATTAAATGAATGAACAAAAACACCAAGGACCCCCACAGAGACCTCCTTCCCAAGCAGCCAGCCTCTAGGCCTTGATTTTAGCGATGCTTATGCTTCCCAGGGAGATCGCTATGGCTCCCCGTGCGGAAGAAAGGAACCCCGAGAAATTCTCCCAACAGATCGATTGATTGAATTTATTTGAATTTATTTGGGCCTTCCCAATCTCAGTGACCCTGGGCAGCTTACATTTGTGGGAAGTCAGCCCCCCCCCCCCAGAGAAAGAAATTTTTTGGAAAAGTTTAAAATAATAATAATAATGCAGAATAGACGAGAAAGAACTGGAGAAGATAACAAAATACAAAGACCTACAAATAGAAATAGAAAGATTGTGGCAAAAGCAAGCAAGGGTAGTACCAATAGTCATAGGCTCCTTGGGTGCAATCCCAAAACAACTGGAGCACCACTTGAACACCATCATCGGCATTGAGAAATTCGCCATTAGTCAATTGCAAAAGGCGGCCTTACTAGGAACTGCTTCCATCCTGCGATGATACCTGTAATACCATAAAACATCCACATCTGCCTATCCCAGGTCCTGGGTAAGGACTCGATAGGTAGACAAAATGCCAAATCCAGTCTGAACATCTGGCTGACTGTGCGATGATCCATAATAATAATAATAAAGTTGGAAGGGACCTTGGAGGTCATCTAGTCCAACCCCCTGCTCAGGGAGGAAACCCTATACCATTTCGGACAAATGGCTGTCCAGTCTCTTCTTAAAAACTTCCAGTGTTGGAGCATTCACCGCTTCTGGAGGCAGGTTGTTCCACTGGTTAGTTGTTCTCACTGTGAGGAAGTTTCTCCTTAGTTCTAAGTTGCTTCTCTCCTTGATCAGTTTCTATCTGTTGCTTCTCGTCCTGCCTTCAGGCGCTTTGGAGAAGAGCTTGACTCCCTCTTCTTTGGGGCAGCCTGAGATACTAAAGGATTTTAAAAGCAGAAACCAACCCCGCCCCCAACTCTCTCTGTCCCAAACAGGAACCAAGTCTGTAGAATTGCAGATGTGATGATCTTGTCAGAAAGACTGGAGTCAGGAAACTGGGATTAGGAAGAAAGATCCCTAGAATCAACCAAAAATCTAAGAGTCATCGGCCACAACCCCTGGGAAGCAGGATATGACCTTTGGGACATAATAGGATTAACCCACCACCATCAGAATACCAGAAAGGCACACTCAGACTCAGTTCATGCCACAGGAACAACTCCAAACAAAAGGCTCCAGAGGGTATAAAAACCCACTCCCTACATATGCTCACTCTCTTTCTTCCAGAGCCATCTTTCTGTTTGGCTCTCCTCTTCAATAAACTGCAACCAACTTTCTAAAGCAGTCGCCATGTTGTTTATTCCCGGCTTGAGCTGAACCATGATGAAGACTTTTCCTTCAACATAAACAACCTTCCAGCAAGCAAAGTCAGTGGGGGGAAGCCAGATTCACTTACCAACTGCTGTGATTCATTTAACAACCACAGCAAAAAAGGTCATAAATTGGATATGACTCGCTTAACAACTGCCTCACTTAGGGATGGAAGTTCCCATCCCAACTGTGGTCGTGAGTCGAGGACTACCTGCAAGTAAGTTGGCAAGCCTTTGTCAGAAGTAAGTCTTCATCCTGGTTCATCCAAGCCGGGGATAAATAAGCAACATGGCGACTGCTTTGGGAAGAAGGTTACAGTTTATTGAAGAAGCAGAAAGATGGTCCTTGCAAGAAAGAGCAGAGGAGAGGCAAGAGGAGTTGAGCACACGGGCAGTAGGTTTTTATACCCCCTCTAGCCTTGTTTGGAACAGTTTCCTGTTCCTGTGGCATGAACCTTGAGGCTGTTTCTGAGTGTTTTTCTAGGCCTTGATATCTGTGGTTTAATCCTATTATCATATCCTGCTTCCCAGGCGATGGGGCTAATGACTCCTAGAGTTTGGGTGGGGCATGCAGATGTTCTCTTTGTCTTCTTGACTGCCCTGGCTTCAACTTTCTGATGGTTTTACATCTGCATTTGTATGGGGCTAGCTCTTGCTTGGGGCAGAGAGATAGATTTGGGGCCAGGTTTGGTTTCTGCTTTTCAAAAAATACTTTTAAAAATCCTTTTGGTGAAAAATATATTTTCCTGCCCTTTTAGTATTTCCTTCTCTGGGCTAACTTCCCTCACCTTGCTAATTTATTCAGATGTGCAAAATTTCCATCTTCCCAGGCTGCGCAGCATGATGGGCATTGGAGTCCGGCACATCTGGAGAAGAAAAGGTCCAAAGAGGCTGGAGAAGAAAAATGCAACTTCGAAGATAAGCCCCAAAAAAAGGAGATTCCACAGCCTTTAACCCCTCTCTCCCCCCCACCCCGCAACCCAATGCAGCTGCACAGCGACATGCAATAAAGCAATAAAACCAGAATGACCAGAAATGCAATTAAAAGGAAGCCATGCAGAATAGCTTGGAGTCCTCGTTTTCCAAGCAGATCTTTTCACCTTGAGACGGTTGAAGTTGGGTGGGCGGCTCCCAGAAGACCTGGGCTGGAAAAGCACCTCCGAAGGCAGAAAAATCGCCTTTAAAATGAACTTTGGAGCAAAGAGGAAGCCTGCCACACTCAATATGGCGGGCGCCCGGCGCGCGGCAGCCATGTTGAGTGTGTCCTGGCCCTATCATCTTAATTACCTCCCACCGGGGACGCCCTGGATCATTTACGCATGCGCAGGAGGGACTCGTTACCACGGAAACGGCCACCCTTTTACCCAACCAAGATGGCCGCTACGGCAAGCGAAAGGGGAAAAGGGGGGAAGGCCCGTCCTGTCACTATATAGAGCCGATCTCGTCAGCAACGGCAAGAACGGGACGCTAGGGACGGGGCGGGGAGTCATGTTCGCGGGATGGAGCAGCGGCTCTACTTCTCCGGGTAAGTGGACGCCCCCTCGGGAGGCGGTGGGGACGGAGACGAAGTCCCGGGGACCAATCTGAGAGGGACGGAGCGACCTGTGGGAAAGGGAGTCAGGAGGACTACCGCTCCCATCGTGCCCTGCGAAGTCTCATCGTGAGCTTCGACGGTTAGCTACCGCGTTGCATGACGGGGGTTGTGGTTTTGGGGAGAGTGAGCCCCCCCCAGATCTGTCTGGCAAACCCTTCTCCAACTGGGCGCCCTCCTACACGATGGGAGTTGTAGTCCAGAACCCCGAGGAGGATAGGGGCGAGAAATGACGACCCTCCCCCATTAGTCGTAGAAATTTATCCCCCTTCTGGTTAGGAAGCCCCTCCCCAAACCCCAAGGTTCCCCCCCTCCCAGAATGTTTGCCCCTCTTGAGTGATAGAGCCTCTGAGCATGGACAGAGTTCATGGCCTCTCGGACACCGAGAATCCTGGGGGTGTTTGGAGGGGGGGAATGGAGCCCACATTTCCCATATGCCTTTGACTACAGTTCCCATTGTTTGTGGAGTGGATTATTATTATTAGTAGTAGTGGTAGTGGTAGTAGTGATAGAAGTAATAGTAATAGTAACAACAACCCGGGGAATCTAATAATAATAATAACAGTAATGTAATAAGTAATAATAATAACAACAATCACATGAGCACCTTTTGCTGGCTTTCTCTCTTATACTTTTTTAAAAAAATGAACAGTTTGTTAACCGCAGGAAAAATGTTTTCCAAGAATTATTTTCAAATGAGTAACCTGTTTCAGATTGGTTTTTCCATTCATCTTTCTCTTTCCTGCTTGGCAGACAATCCAGTTTCTTTTTTGTAAACATTTTTATTTTTATTACTTCAATAAAAAGCAACAGAAACAAACAGTAAGGAAAAAATGGGGGGGGCAAAGAATAGATTACCTACATGCAATGACATACAGGTAGTCCTCGACTTACGACCGTAATAGAGCCCAACATTTCTGTTGCTAAGCAAGACAGCTGTTACTTTGAGTTTTGCCCCGTTTTACGACCTTTCTTGCCATAGTTGTTAAGTGAATCACATGGTGATTAAATGAATCTGGCTCACCCATGGACTTTGCTGGTCAGAAGATCGCAAAAGGGGATCACATGACCCCGGGATACTGCAACCGTCATAAATATGAGTGGGTTGCCATGTGTCTGAATTTTGATCATGTGACCACAGGGATACTGCAATGGTTGTAAGTGTGACAAATGGTCATAAGTCACTTTTTTCAACAGTTACTAAATCAGTGGTTCTCAACCTGTGGGTGGGGACCCCATTTGGGGTCGAACGACCATTTCACGGGGGTCGCCAAACAAGGCTGTCTGCCATTTTTTCCCCCTTTTCTATGGTCACGCCCCTGGCACCCGGTGATGTATAAGTGGTTGGGGGTCACCACAACATGGGGAACTGTATTATGGGGTCGCGCCATTAGAAAGGTTGAGAACCACTGTACTAAATGCACCATTGTAAATTGAGGACTACCTGTATGTAGTGGTACAATTCCTCAGTCATCTATGTTTTATTTAGTTATTTATTAAATTTACCATATATTAGCCTGTCTCATCTAGAGTTGACTTTTATGGTTGTTGTTTATGTTTAAATCAGGGGTCTTCAAACTTGGCCCTTTTATGACTTGTGGACTTTAACTCCCAGAATTCCTCAGCCAGCGTGCCTGTCTGAGGAATTCTGGGAGTTGAAGTCTACCAGTCATAAAAGAGCCGTTGGAAGACCCCTGGTTTAAATGATATCTAAATGTATACCTTTTTAAAAAGACCATTATTGCTGAGCTGAGACATAAAGTGAGAATTTATACTGAGCTGAGACATAAAGTGAGAATTCAGAAGATGAGATTTAATGTACTGATGAAGAGAAAAATATTTTATTTTGCTCTCTTTAGCTCTTATCTATAAGTAAATCATTTAAACAGCTGTTGGCTGGAGGTCAACTGAGCTCCAGCCTGAATGGTCAATAAATCATGGTGGAATGAGGAAGGCAATTATTTTAGCTGTTTATTGTTTCAAAAGTAGATCCAAATCAAGTGGGCGAGGGTAAATATTAGCTCACAACGGAAGTTTTTTTTTCCTTTACAACCCGTGTCAGTCTATGTGATTTATAAGGTTAGTGTTCACACTTGGTTGATCACATTTGCCTTCTTTTGGTACAAGATTGCATTTGTCATATTTCGTACAAGATATCAACACCATAATCCTATCTTGTAGTCAGAGGCCTTTTTTTTTACAGAATAACAGAGCTGTGGAAGGGACCTTGGAGGTCTTCTAGTCTAACCCTTTACTCAAGCAGGAGACCCCCAGACCTTTTCAATACATTAAAACTCAAGATTGTACATGGCACATAGGATTGCAATCTCAATTTTTTTTAAAAAAAAAATGACATTAGCCGTAGAGGTTTATGGCTAAACCGTCCTATTGTGGAGATAAAAATGACAGTTGACTCTTACAGTATCAGATTTCTGTTATGCTGCATTTGCAAACAGTTTCACACAAGGAAATTTCTAGAAGAGCAGATTGTTTCCTGCCATCAGAAGAGCAAATTGTGGCCCTTTTGCATTTGCGAATCATAAGAGTGTATCTGATTGGTGGAAGACAGAGAGTCCTCCATTTAAAACCATTCGTTTTGGGACTGTTGGGAGTTACAGCAGCACTGAAAAAAGTGCTTTATGATCAGTCCTCACACTTATAACTATCACAGCATCCCCACAATCACATGGCCAAAATTCAGCTGGGATGTATTTATGGCAGTTGCAGCATCCTGGGATCACATGAATAGAATAGAATAGAATAGAATAGAATTTGGAATAGAATAGAATAGAATAGAATTTGGGATAGAATAGAATAGAATAGAATAGAATAGAATAGAATAGAATAGAATAGAATAGAATAGAATAGAATAGAATAGAATAGAATAGAACCTTGGAGGTCTTCTAAAGCAGGAGACCCTACACTGTTTCAGACAGGTTACTGTCTAGCCTCTTCTTAAAAACCTCCAGTGATGGAGTGTCCATGATTTCTAGTGGCAAGCTGTTCCACTGGTTAATTGTCCTCACTGTTAGGAGGTTTCTCCTTAATTCCAGGTTGCTTCTCTCTTTGTTCAGTTTCCAACCATTGTTTCTTATCCTGCCTTCAGATGCTTTGGAGAATAATTTGACCCCATCTTCTTTGTGGCAGCCCCTCAGATACTGGAACACTGCTATCATGTCTCCCCTATTTCTTCTTTTCTTTAGACTAGCCAAACCCAAATCCTGCAGCCGTTCTTCGTATGTTTTAGTGTCCAGGCCTTTGATCATCTTAGTTGCTCTTCTCTGATTTTTTTTCCAAACTCTCGACATCTTTTCTGCAATATGGTGACGAAAATTGGCTGCAGTATTCCAGGTGTGGTCTCACTAGGGTTTTATAAAGCGGTGCTAATACTTCACGTGATCTTAATTCTACGCCTCTGTTTTTACAACCCAGGATTGTGTTAGCTTTTTTGGCTGCTGCTGCACATGGCTGGCTCACGGTCAAGTGATCGTCCACTAGGACTCCGAGGTCCCTCTCACAGTGCCTGTTTTTGAGCCGGGTCTCGCCCAATCTGTACTTGCGCCTTTGGTTTTTCCTGCCTAAATGTAAAGCTTTGCTTTTCTCCACATGGAAACTCATTTTGTTGGACAGGGCCCATGGTTCAAGTTTGTCAAGATCTTTTTGATTCCTGAGTTTGTCTTCTGGGGTGTTGGCTACTCCTGCCAGTTGGGTGTCATCTGCAAATTTGATGAATTCCCCTTCTATTCCCTCATCTAACTCAATCTCTTCTGAACCGTCCTTCTTGGTTCTTAATAATAATACTAAAGTTGGAAGGAACCTTGGAGGTCATCTAGTCCAACCCCCCGCTCAGGCCGGAAACCCTATACCATTTTGGACAAATGGCTGTCCAGTCTCTTCTTAAAAATTTTCAGTGTTGGAGCATTCACCGCTTCTGGAGGCAGATTGTTCCACTGGTTAATTGTTCTGACTGTCAGGAAGTTTCTCCTTAGTTCTAGGTTGCTTCTCTCCTTGATTGGTTTTCATCCGTTGCTTCTTGTCCTTGGAAAATAGCTTGACTCCCTCTTCTTTGGGGCAGCCAAAGTCCCCTAATCATCTTTCTTCTCCCTGTTGCCCCCAGGTCTCACCCAATCTGCCCTTTACGACCTTCCCAGCTAGCTTCCAACAAAGAAAGACAGTGGGAAAATCCACTTTAGGACTAAGTGACTCCCTTAACTGCTGTGATTTACGTCGCCAAACAACGCAGTCCGCCATTTTTTTCCCCTTTTCCTTAGCTGTGCTACTCCCTTTTATTCTATTGGCTTTTGAAAGCCAATCGAATAGACTCTCTTGAATAGAGTCTAATTCTATTGGCTTTCCAAAGCCAATAGGAATTGTCCAGGCTATCTCTGCCCTGCTGAGCCCGCCAAAAGTCCCATTCTGCAAACGGTGCTGCACCCGTTGAGTAGTCCTCGACTTACGACCGGTTGAGTAGTCCTCGACTTACGACCGGTTGAGTAGTCCTCGACTTACGACCGGTTGGGGGTCGCGGCATTAAAAAGGTTGAGAACCACTGACTTAACAACTCTGACCAAAAAGGTCATAAATTCGGGGGTGGCTGAACCGCCACCTTGCTTCTCCATGCAAATTTTGGTCTCAGATACAATGCCTTGTTGTGTACGTACAAGACAGCAGCGGGGTGGGGCAGGGACACAGGGAGAGGCGA